TCCATTAAAAAAAAAAAAATTCACGCCCCGTAAAGAATGATTTTAAATGCATTTCGTAACAAGGAAAATGTTTTCGAGGAGATAGAGATTGACCACCGCAGTCATCTGACGTGCACATGCTACGTGTCTCAATATCAGAAAGTCACCGTGCCAGCAAGGCGACCACAACAAAAGTTTACTCCATTCAATTTACGATTTTACCCCTCCACTCCTCGTTAAATTCCCATCTTTCCCGACCACCATAAAAAGGGGGCAAATCCCACAGAGCCTACAGTATTTCGTCTGCTTTTCACAATTTTCTGTAAGATTTACACTCCGATAATTAGCCGGAAAACAAAAATCGCCAATGAGATATCAATCTCCGACGAGAGCCATGTCATCCTTCAAAGTCGTGTTGATATCCACCAGCGTTTTATCCGCGGCAATCGCGCTGAAATTCTCGGCTCCGGCCATCGTGGATCTCGCCGAGTGCTTGCCGTCGGTCTACAATGGCATCGTTTCGTGGCTGAGGCCGCCGTACCTATACCTCGTCATAAATTTCATAATCATCACCATCGTCGCCTCCTCCAAGCTCCAGTCGGGGAAAGACAACGGCGCGCCGCCGCCGCCGGACGATGCGAGTACCGTGGCTCAGCTGCAGCTGCAGCCGCAGCCGCAGCCAGTGGCCACTAAAAGTATTCCGGCGGACTACCTGACGGAAGAGTACAAGTACGACGGCGGAGCTCCAAACGAATCGAGTGGTTACAAGGTGGAGCAGGGGAAAGGATCGGAGCTCGAATCGCTCGAGCGCGCGGATGCGAGCAGTGGAGTGCCGCCGTCTGCGGCCGACGGCGATGAGTCTACGATGGACAAGTCGAGCAATAAGGAGAACGAGTTCGTGATCGCGAAGTCCACGTGGGTGGTCATTCCCGATAACAGAGGCTCGTCGGGAAACTCTCCGTCGAAGCCTCCGGCTTCTGCGAGGTTCGGCCACCGGAGAAATGTGAAAGTCAGCCCCGAAGGTATGAGTTCTATGTCTTATCGATTAAATTTTTCAATGAACCAACGTAGCCTTTACTCGCCGGGAATATGAGGTGGGAGAGACTACGGTAGTTATTCGCCGGAGAGTAAGAGGAAACAAATAAAAAAATAAAAATAAAAAGTACATTTCGAAATTCGTGAACTAGGGTAGCTAGCTGGCGAAAATGTTACCGTTGGAGATGTGGTAGACGCCAATCTAATGTGTGTCAGTTCACGAATTAAGCGTGTACCCACAGTAGGATCCTTAAGGTTAAAGAGATCGGATTTTTTTATTAGGCCCGTTGTTAATGGGTCACACTCATCTAAATGGGCCCTATTATGGCCGTAACAATAAGGCCAGTGAGTCTATTGGTAGACTGACCTACTGGGCATTGTCATTTTTTAATGTCCAAAATGCCCGATTATGCTATTGGTACAGGCCGCCAGAATTTGAAACGATAAGCCCAACCCATTGCTTCGATTGACGTCATTTTTGCATAATTATTTTACTTTATTATTTGGTGTTGCAGAATTTTTGTTCAAATTTTTTCCATCCTTAAACGTATTATTTGGGAGAGAGAGCATCGTTTTTAACAGTCCAATCCATGCATACATCTGTAAAATGTATGCAAGTGTGTATGATTGAGTTGTTAAGACACAATGGAAGTTGGGTCGAATTGCTAATGGAAGACAATAGGTCTATCAGATAATCATACTTTTCGAACTGATATACATACATATTATTAATTTTGCAGCAGCATGCTTTAAAAATACATCTCCAAAATGTGAGCTGTGTGTGATTGAATTATTAAAACCATGGAAGTTGGGTCGAATTGTTGATGGTAGACGACATGGCAGACAACGGGATAATCATACCATTCGAACATATATGCATACATATTATTAAACTACACTAGTTTACTCTAAAAATAAAATTAAATAAACGTATGACATTGTATTATTTCGTGGTGGTTACTATGAATGATTTCTCGTCATCAGGCGTGAAGACGGTGTTGGGGGTGTCGAGACCCAAGAGGCACGACACACTGGAGAGCACATGGCGGACGATAACCGAGGGGCGCCCCGTCCCCATAACCCGACACCTCAAGAAATCCGACACTTGGGAGCGCGACAACCACCGCGGGGGGCCGCTGGAGAAGACTCCGCCGCCAAAGACGATGAAGAAAGCCGAGACCTTCACTGACCGTACCAACAGTAGGAGCCCATCCTCCGGCAAGCTCCGGCGAGAGGCTTCCCCGAGTCAGGATGAGCTGAACCGGCGGGTCGAGGCTTTCATCAAGAAGTTCAACGAGGATATGAGGCTGCAGAGGCAGGAGTCGCTCAACCAGTACATGGAGATGATCAACCGTGGGGCCCACTAGACTAGAGTGGGCTTTTTTGGGGCAAATGGGTTTGGGTTTCGATTTTGGTTTTATTTTTTGTGCTGTAGGAAAAAAGTGAGCTCGAGATGTATGAAAATTGGATTACAAAAATAGGAAAATTCTCTCTTCTCTAGAGAAGTGTGTGTTCAAATGTTTTTTCTTTCATATTATTGGTTCATCTTGTTCTTTATTTTTTTGTTCTTTTTCAGAAAAAAAACACTTGTGTGCAGACTGTAGAAACTTTCTCGAACACAAAAAGGTCCACAATTTACAACATACAAAGCCTTCAGTTGTTGATATACAACAAACAAAGCCTTGAGTTGTTGACTACCTTTAAACCAACACTTGACCATTCATGAGAAGCACAAGCTTTGTGTTGCTGGAAGAATTTATAAGCAAGTAACATGAATTGCTCACTGAGCATCAAGTAATATGAATTCAATCACCATAGACACAAAAAAATGTTGCTCATTGCTAACTGAATCAATCATAAAGATGTTTAGCAAACTTAGTCCTCAGGGTCTTGGTCTCGGATTTCGAGTTTTTTTCCACTCTTTTCTCACTCTTAGCTATTGCTCTAGCTACGGCCTTCATCTTACGTGCATTTTGTGATCTTTTCATGGGTCTCCCCTTCTTGGTCTTCCTGCATTTTTAGATAATAATTCAACCTTAGGATATTTCCATGCGATCGGGCATATATGTATTCATCAAAGATTCTATCATGCGCGAAAAAATTAATTTCTTCAGCCCAATATTACACAATATTAGATAGGTATCTTTCAAGGGAATAATAAACGCGTAAATAGGAGATGGTGATGATGCCATTTCAAAGTGCATATACATAACATTTCAATATCATAAGTATATCAAAGCAATGTTCCTTTAAAAAAACACAAGTAATGCAGTAAAAAATCTAGCAGCTCATGTGAGCGGGTTCTGTAAAATTATGATCGGAGCACATTGCATTGCCTAATAATAAGGAACCCGATTATCAGAAACACAAATCAAAATATCGATTCAGTAAGACGAGCAAAACCCACACATCCTTGGACAAAAGTTTATGCCTTCAGCAAAAAATCCACTTCAAGCACACAAATTACAGAACAAAATTTTCACAATTCAATTCCATGTCCCATGAACACATCTAAAGTTACTCAATAATTGGAACTTTAACAATTCAGATTATTTTCACCCTCAGAGGTGGAAACTTACACATCTATGCACCTATGCATTATAAGCTTAAAAACAGAATAATATAGAACCACATAATTAGGCAAAAATGTAAAACATTAGCTGACCTGAGAGCTCCGACAACAGAAGCACCGGAAGCCGCCGTCTCCGACGTGTCCATAGCTGAAGAAAGAAAAAAGGTCTCAGAAACTAAAACAAGTTCTGATTTTTTCCGTTTACAAAACCTGAATACGAAAAAATCAATATAATAACGAAAAAGGCGCATCAAATCGAAAGGAAGTAAAAATTTAAATTACACAAAGTATAACAAATGGGCTCCAACCTTGAGCTTCGTCCGTCGTGGTATGATCGGCGACGGCGACATCCACGGCCATCTCATTCGATGCGTTTTTCTTCTTCTTGTTTCTGTTCTTCGCCATGGATGAAATTCGAGGTCTTTTAGGGTTTTTTTTTGCCCTTTTGAGTTCTGAAATCTGTTTATAGTTTCAAAACCCTAACGATAAATTTGACATGTTTCGTGTTGGGCCCTTGTGTGGGTTTGTACTTTTACGTGAGTGTCCATTGGGCCAGAACTATATTGGTTGGGTCTGATTTATAACATGGACAAGTGGACTTAAGAGTAACTTATTATGGGCTTTGTTTAGTTAAACTTGTACTAAATTTGGTGCCTGTCTAGGTAACTGGTTATTAACTGTTTTTTTAGGCTACCTTTATCCGTGATCCAATGAGTGGATCACACTCACGATAATAAAAAAAAAAAAAAAAATGGGTCATCAACTTGAGCGACCTAGGTCACATTGCGACTTCGGGTCGCGACCGGTTATTGGGGAAAAATTGGACAATTGTCCCATTTTTATTGGACAAATGTATTTTTTTGGTTTCTAAAAAAAATAAAAAAACATACGAAAATTTATATTTTTTCATTCTCTACAAATAGAGGCCACACTTCATATATTTTAGAAAACAATTACAATGTTTTAATCAATTAAAATAAAATAAATATTTAGGTTGAGTTGGGTTGGAGATAAAGATAAATTAGGTTGAAAGATTGAGTTGTGTATGTGAAGGAGAGAGAAATATTTTTTTATTATTAAGTTGAGTTGGATTAGGTTGGAGATAAAGATAGTCTAGTACAGGAAAAGGAGGCCAAACTTAATTACGCTGATATCAACACGTTTAATGGCGGATCCAGCCTAGTTTGTTGGGGGTCACATGCCCCCAACAAATTGAAGATGCTAAAGAACAATACTGAAAATGCTAAAGAACAATTCATGCCAGAGTAGACCCGAGATGGTGAATTGGGGAAGGGATTAGGGCCATAGTATCATGGGCCCCCATTACATAAATGTCCTGGATCTGCCGTTGATTACACGTTTATGGGGTACGACACCCTTACCACATCATGAACAGTCAAGTCCTCACACTTGAGGGAGGGACATCCAAATGCTGAACTCCGCCAAATCCTTGCGCCGCAAGGTAGGCCAAAAAATAGGCAACAAAATTCGCTTCCCGATAACTATACTGTAAAACCTTGCACGGTCAAGGCCAACCTAACAGCTCTCGTAGAATCTCCTTGTGGATGCCACATCCACCTTCTTGTTTGATGTTTCTTCTTGTTTTTTTGCTGTTGACAAACGCCAACATGGAAGAATAATATGGACATATTAGGATTACGTGGGATTAGGTACACAGTAAGATCACACGGCCCCAATTGTACGGATTGATGTCGGTATCTGTATGTCCTAAACTGCACAGGGGTCCCACCTTAACCGTTATTACTTACTATCTTATTTAGTCAGTTAATTACAGTTTATTCATTTCTTATTTGTTCCTTTAACTAATACAATACTCGTGTACTATGTACTTGTTAAAAATTTATATTTAAAATTAATTAAATAATAATAACAACAAATGTTGTTTTAGTTTTTAAATACTTTTTGAAAAAAATATATCTTTATTTATTAATAAAATGACACTATCATTTACACGACTTACCATCTTATATTATATATATATATATATATATATATATATATATATATATACATATATATATCAGATAACAAGTTTGTTTGTAGTTAAGATTATTTAGATTTTTAATTAATATTAATCGGTAATTTAATTTAAATAATAAATAAACAAAATTATTCATTTATTTTGTATGTATAATATACATGTCAAATTCAAACTCGTCAATACGTGATTAATTTTATCTATTAAATATAAAATTTGTTAATAAATAAAAAATTACTAAATTTCAAATATATTTATAATTTAAGTTAGTAAATTTATTATAATTTAAAAAATAATTGAAAAATACTTTATAAATCTCGTCTACAATATGAAATAGTATTAAAACATAATTAATGGTATTAAAAGAGACCATAAATATTTAATAAATCATTCTTAGCCTAGTTACTTTTGCATTGGGAATAAATTAAAATTAATCCAAGTCAAACAACAAAGTTTGAAAATTTGCCACACATAATCCTGAAACGTGGTAGCCTGCCACTTAGACTCGGCACATTCAGAAGTTATATATAGGGAAATTTAATCCTCATAGTATGGCATTAGCCCGCATTATAATAATAATAATTTCATTATATTCTATATATTAGTACAACATACATGAGTATATACGGGTGCTATTTAAAAAAATTATATTGAAATTCTTAAAATATAATTTAAATATATTTTTTTTATTCAAATTTTAAGTACCTTTAAAAGATAACTTCATATTTAAAATGAAAAATTTCACTTATAGGATTTGCCAGAGTTATATTATAATAATTTGTTTAATTTATATGTAATGAATATATATATGACTTTTTGAATTGATGATATCTAGTTTTATTAATTTTTAATTAGTATTCATATATGATTTACTTTTAAAAAAAAAAAAAATTATTTATTTATTTTATATATGCGATATGGATATCAAATTGAAGATCGTCGAAAGATAATTATTTTTGTATATTATATATAATCTAAAATAAATTGAAAAAGTTATTATCTTTTAAATATATTTATAATTTTTTTAAGTAAAGTATTTCATAGTTTTAAAAGTTATAATAAGCATGTATAAAATTCTTAATGGCCCCGTTTGGAAAATAGCGGATTGAAGATAAATTAGCGGATTGGACGTAATTGAGAGGTTTGACCCGTCAAGTCCGCTATTGAGCCTGTTTGGTAAATAGCTTATTTGATAAGTTTTTTGGGCTTAAAACTCTAATTTATAAAAAGCTCATTAGAGCAGCGTTTTGGGGATAGAGGATTCACAAAAATCATTTACTTGAAACTTTTTAATTTGTATTATTTATTTTACAATCTACGTTGATTTATGGTGCTAATAAATAATAATATGTCATCCATATGATTAATTTATCTAGAAAAATGTAAAATCCATAACTTCTTTATCAAGTGTTAGTAAATTTAAAAAGAAAAATAGTATATTTATAAATTACCAACTAAAGAATATTAAATGTTTTAATATATTTATTATTAAAAGAATACACCCTAAATAATAAAATATCTTTATTGATCATTTTGTAATGTGAAACAGCTATAAGCTTTCAGCTATTTACCAAACACTACTTTATAAACCGCTAATGCAATCCGCTGGTCAAATCAGCTAATAATATAATCCGCTATCCGCTGATACAATCCACTATCCGTTATCCGTTGATCGCCAAAAACCAAACACGTAATAAAAAATCGACACACGAAACACTGTAAATCAACATTGTACGATCGGAAATTCAACAAATAAATCATGAAGCATAAAAAATCGACACATAGGATCGGGACATTCGACATTTATAGAAAGGGATATATGTAATAAAGTAATACACTTCAATCTACCACACTTTATCTTCATTTTATTTTTGTAGTATAATGATTTTCTTTTGTTAATTTTTTTTTTATGTACATTAATGGTTAATGTATATTATATTTGAATTAATGTTTGAATTTTCTAAGATTGATTATATATTTTTCCTCTAAGTGCCATAAAAATACGGATTCATTTTCAGGCATGAGATATCATTAATGATTATAATCTTCTTATGCATACACAATTTCTCTGCATGCGGGGATGTTGATTTTGGTATCAACAAGTCAACCATTATCTTTTCCTTTCAGAACATTTTTATTAATACCCCTATATATATTAATACAGAATGCGCTGAGCCTACGTGACTACTTCTGGTGCTTCGGAATTCTATGTGGCAAAATTACATGATTCGTTATTAGGCTTGGGTAAATTTTAATTTAATTCTAAATCAAAAATAATTAGCTTCGGATTACTATAAATATATTGATTATTTATGGTCATGTTACATGTATTAATTGTATTTTAATATAATTCCTTATTATAACTATTGAATTGTATATATATTTTAAAAGTTAATAACTTTTGTATTTTTTATCAGTTTTACATATGTAATATATCAAATTAATATTCTTTTGATAAGCTTCGATTTAACATCCAAATTGTATGTATAAAAAAAATAATTTATATTTATCTTTATAAAAATAATAAAATTATTTTTAATATTAATTAGAAAAATAAAATTATTTATCAACTAATATATTTATATTTCAAGTAGTTATATGATATAAGTTATAAAAACTAATATAATATAACACATGTAAGTCATAAGTAACACATATCATTTTAAAATATATAGTAATATATTTTTTTTTGTAAAAAAGTAAACGAAATTTAATATAATTTTCTCATTAATTTTAAAATTTAAAAATAATTTTTTAACAAGCACCCGTGTAATACACGAGTATTGTACTAGTATTAATATAAACATAAATAAAAGTAATTTGTATTAGCATTTGTTTAGCTATTAACTAATAGTGATAAAAAATTATAATAACTAATTTGAAGCAATAGTGTACTATATGCACGATTTTGTAATAAATATTTCATAAATAGAGGTTTAACCACTAAAAAAAAAAAATGATGAAATTTCAACGGAAATATATTTTAATAGAATTATTCTAATGGATATTTCAATGTTATTATTTCTGTTGGAATTTTTCAATGTATTCCAACAGACATTCCAACAAAAATATTCCGTTGGAATGAGTTTTCCCGGTGAATTTTGACGATTCCAACAATAGTATTCCAACGGGGGTAGAAATAAAAATTCCAACAAAAATTGCATATTACAACGGTAAATAGCTTGTTGGAAATATAGTCGTTGGACTCATCAAATTTCATCTAAAATTCTAATGAAAAACAAATCCAACGTAAGCTATAATATCCGTGAAAATTATATTAAAATGTATTACCATAGAATTTTCCGTTGGAATATAATAATTTTTTTTAGTGAAGTGATATGGCTAACAATTTGTATGGGAAATTTATAATGAACTCTATTTTAAAAATATCATTTATATAGTCATTTATTTATTTTTTAAAATAAACTATCGTAAAAAAAAATGGTCAATAATATTTAAATGAATTTCAATCGGTTGCAATTCAAACACATAACTACGTACGCAAGTGTCCAAATCAGTCAATTGACAAGACGTGCCAAACTTAATCCCACATCCACATTTTTTTTTAATTCTTTTTATATTTTATTATTAAAATATTATTCATTTTATTTTTATTAAACTGCTTTTCAATTTCAATTCTCAACGGTTTTCATTCCCAAAAAACCATTTTCAAATTATCCATTGTTTTTTCCCCTTCAAATTCATCATAATAACTCCTCCTAAAATCCTCCCTAAAAGCTTCTCCGCCAAAGCAAGGACAAGCTTTTTACGCATTTGTCGTGTCTAATTCAGACAGTCATCCGAGGTTCTCATCTCCTCCATTAATGCAACCTCTGCGAGGTTCATGAGCAATTGTTTTCCTTTTCTCTTTCCTTTTTTTTTTTTTTTTTTCTTCTTCTCCCTCAAGAAGCGCCGGTTTCATATATGCTGCGAGTTCAATTGTGCTCCCAATTTGGTTTCTCAATTTCTACCAACATGGAAAATTTTGCGTTCGTTGAAGAGTGAATTTGATTTCTAAGGGGCCCTCGAAAAGTTTGTGTCTTTAAGGTGAATTTGATTTCTAAGGGGCCTTCGAAAAGTTTGAGTTTTTAGGGTGAAATTTGATTTCGAAGGGGCCCTCGAAAAAGTTTGAGTCTTTAGGTTGAATTTTGATTACGAAGCCCCCCTCGAAAAAGTTTGAGTCTTTAGGGTGAATTTGATTTCCAAGGGGCCTTCGGAAAAGTTCAGAGTCTTTAGGATTTTTCCTTTTGCATTTAGGGTTCTAAGCTTCTAGCCTCAAATAGCAATGCCATGTTAGGCATTGTGTGGAAAGATTCTTGATTTTCATTTGAGGGTTTTGAGGTAAGAACACGCCCAACAAAGAAAAAAGCAAAAAAATAAAAAATAAAAAATGTTGTCAATATCACCTAATTCTATAGCTCGAAGCTCGTTGGAGGAAATGCTTGATTCCCTCCGCCAAAGGGACGAAAACGAGAAGCCAAAGGACATCCCACCGGCACTCCCTGCACGGCCCAAGCCCACCTCGCGGGCCCGACTTCCATCCGCCAAGCGGCCATTGCCCACGAGTTTAGGAGTTGGGGATTTTGGGCCGGGCTTTAAGGCATCTTTAAACGCTAATTTGAAGGATGGCTCGAAAGGGACTGTTCGGAACAGTTTCGGGGCTAAAAAGGTGAAGGGGGTTGAACCAAGGGAGTCGCCATATCTTAATTCGGTATCGGAAAAGAAAGTAGACGAGGAAAAGTTGGTTGGAAAAGACGAAGTGAAGCTTGCTTGCTCGACAAATGGGTGTTTCCCTAAGTTTAGGGAGTCTGAGTGGGATGACAATCTCGGATATTTCATTAATAAGGTAGAGAGAACAAGGTTCCTTTTTTCTTGTCTGAATATTTTTATGTCCGAGTACTTTTGTTTTCTCATAGTCGTGGGTAGGGTGGAAGTTCTGTTGTTAGTTTATGTTGAAGAAATGAATATATTTTTGACATACTTTGTTTAGGTTTTTTCGTGCACTACATTACACGACATGCTGGAGGCAGTGTGTTAAAAGTATAATCATAGAGCCACTATTTTTTGGGTTATTTTTCTCGATTTTATGTGATAAAATGGTGGGTGTTTATGTTTCTCATCTTAAATGTTTTCCAGAGACTTCGTGTATGGTGTCGGCAAAATAACGGCCCATGGGAATCGGGGCAGATACAATCAACTTCAGGGCAGAAGGCTTCTGTTTTGCTGTCGGGTGGAAATGTTAGTTCATATGTTTGGTTTTATCTTATTAGTATTTAATTATTTATCTTGATACTGCAGAACTTTGAGGTGGGGATTTTTGAATTTATTCTTTCTGTCATATTTATAGGTCGTGACAGTTCCCAAACAGAATCTCCTACCTGCAAATCCGGACATTCTTGAAGGGGTAGATGATCTTATAGAACTAAGTTACTTGAACGAGCCTTCAGTTCTTCACAATCTTCAGTATAGATATTCAAAAGACATATTATATGTAAGTCGTGTTTCAAGCGATAAATTTATATTATGTACGATTAATTCTAGCTCACAATGCTTTTCGAGTAATTTGTTGTTTGTTCCTGCTATTCGTAGAGTAAAGCAGGCCCTGTTTTAGTAGCAGTCAATCCTTTCAAAGACGTGTCGCTATATGGAAGTGACTTTATTACAGCTTATAGACAGAATCTTCTGGACAGCCCACATGTGTATGCTGTTGCTGACAAAGCTTACAATGATATGATGACTGGTACTTTCAGTCTCTGAATCCTTAACTGTTGACTTTCTCAGGCTGATGTGTTAAATTTCTTTTGTTTTTCCTTTTCTTTTTTTCTGTGAATTTTGCAGATGAAATAAACCAGTCCATTATCATAAGGTTTGTTGCCATGTTTTTGTCTCTTCGTTTCATTTTCTTTATTCAGCTCGGCAAAAATTTAAATTCATGCCCCGGTTATGTTTTCGTATTTAAGAATATATTGTTATGGTTTGTAGTGGGGAGAGTGGTGCTGGGAAGACTGAAACAGCTAAGATTGCCATGCAATATTTGGCTGCACTTGGCGGAGGTGGTGGAGGAATAGAATCTGAGGTCCTCCAAACGAGCTGTGTTCTAGAAGCCTTTGGTAATGCTAAAACAGCCAGGAATGATAACTCCAGCCGATTTGTGAGTGTTTTCTGTCAAATCGTACATTATCCTTTGGCAGTCAATGCGTAATTCTGTGGCTTAATGGTATTTTGAAATTGTTGGCAGGGAAAGCTGATCGAAATCCACTTTAGCGCTACTGGAAAAATATGTGGTGCTAAAATACAGACTTGTAAGCATGCTTGTATTTGCCAAGTCGAATTTCCAGAAGATTAATATTTGTTGAATTGTTAACTGACTTTCTCAACAATTTGTGCATATTAAACACCTTTTCCTGAACCAATGGCATAGTCCTCCTTGAAAAGGTCAGTTTATTCATCTCAATTTATGTTGACTCTGATTCTCTAGTCGTTATCATGTTTGTGAATTAATATTTTGGTGTAAAATATCTTAATGAATCAGTCGAGAGTTGTTCAGTTGGCCCAAGGAGAGAGATCATACCACATTTTTTATCAGCTTTGCGCTGGGGCGTCTTCTGATCTCCGAGGTCTGTTTTTGTTTTAATTATTTTTATTCAGTTTCTGTTGTTATTGTTGTTATTATTATAACTATTTTTATGATCGCTTTCATAATTATCCGAAGCTCGTTTTACGGGAGAGACTTATGTGGTATTTGGGATGTGCCGCTTATTCTGGTGTAGCATTCTTCTGTGTGTTCATATTGTTTAAGCATGGAATATGAGCAAAAAATATTAAGAACTTATTTTGATAAATTACCTTAATGATTTTCAGTCACAACTTCACAATCCGTTTTTCGTTTTCAATGAATAAATCAGTAGTCAGTGAAGCAATATTTTATCAAATTGTTAATCAAATTGTTTGAATCTACTTTGATCCATGGCAGTATGATGAGCAGAACTTTCCTGTATTTGTTCCTATTGTTTTGATAGACATGACCTTCTTTTTTCCCTGCAAGACTTTCATTAAAAAAATTAATGTTTTCTTTTGCTTACCTTGTGGTTTATTTGCATCTTTTCAGGTAGGTTGAAGTTGAAAAGGGCTTCTGACTACAGTTATCTAAATCAAAGTGATTGCTTGGAAATCCATGAAGTTGATGATGCTCACAAGTTTCATATGCTTATGGTAACGTCCTATAATGTTTCGATTTGACTATCCGTTCTTGCTGTTAGAGAGGTTTTTTAATCATTAACTATTATTTATTTATTTATTTTTCAGGAAGCCTTAAATACCATCAGAATCAGCAAAGACGATCAAGAGCATGCCTTTGAGATGCTTGCTGCAGTTTTGTGGCTGGGAAATATACAATTTCGTGTTGTTGATAATGAAAACCACGTGGAGGTCATTGATGATGAAGGTAGCTATTTTGTTATTATAATATTAGAGACATCATAATCTATTATTAAGAACATTTGTTGTACTCAGTTTAAGTTGGAACTGTTGTATCTTAATTTTGCCGAGTTCTTTTACTCGATATCAATTTCCCATTAATTTATCTACAGCTGTTATCAATGCTGCTGGCTTGCTCGGCTGTGCTACTCATGACTTAATGCTTGCCCTATCAACTCATAGCATTCAAGCTGGAAAAGATAAGGTTGCCAAACGGCTCACTCTACAGCAGGTTAGTATTTTATAATGGTTGTGCACTATTTATTGAACTGCAAAAAGTTCTATAATGTTCTTTCATCTTCCTTAATATTAGGCAATTGATACAAGAGACTCGTTAGCTAAGTTCATGTATGCGAGCTTGTTCGACTGGCTGGTAGAACATGTCAATTACTCACTTGCGATTGGAAAACAGCACACTGGAAGATCCATAAGCATACTAGACATTTACGGTTTTGAATCTTTCAAGGTATACATACAGAGATTTTTTTTAGTTTTTTCAGGTACTGATAATATAGTAATATTCAGATGTGTCTCATAATCATAATTTTTTCTCCCTTTTTTATGGTTTTTAGAAAAACAGCTTCGAACAGTTCTGCATAAATTATGCTAATGAGAGACTCCAGCAACATTTTAACCGACATCTGTTCAAACTTCAGCAAGAGGTAAGACTCATATGGATAAAACTTTAACCGGTTGTAAATAACTCTCCATATGGATAATCTTTCTCTGCTTTTTGTGTCTGCTAGCTTTTTTCTTTCTTATATATGTGTGATTTCAGGAGTACGAATTAGATGGAATTGATTGGACAAAAATAGAGTTTGAAGACAACCAAGACTGCTTGGATCTCTTTGAGAAGGTATCTCTTTACCGATATAAGTACCTATGCAAATGCATGGAAGACGTGACAAATATAATAAGCTGTGTGTAAAAAAAATAAAAAGAGTTATCTAATGACTTTATTCAACATGGTCTTGTTTTAACAGAAACCTCTTGGGCTGATATCTTTATTGGATGAAGAATCACATTTCCCCAAGGCTACAGATTTAACCTTTGCAAGTAAACTTAGGCAGCATTTGGACTCGAATAAATGCTTCAAAGGAGAAAGAGGTGGAGCATTCAGCATTCGCCATTATGCTGGAGAGGTATAGATTCACATATCTTTTACACCTTTGTGGAAAAAAAAAAACCCTGTACCAAGATTCAAATTTTTGGATAAACTTGCGTTATCATCATGTTAATTTTAAACATTGAAATCGATACAGAGCACGTTTTCTTAATGTGTTTGTTTTTTTTACGAAATGCCTTCTTTAGGTTCTTTACGACACAAAGGAATTCTTGGAGAAGAACAGAGATCCACTGCATACTGAAATAATTCAACTCCTATCTTCATGTACAAGCCATTTGTCACAATTGTTTGCTTCCATGCTTAGAGAGTCCCAGGCACTGGCAAGCCCATCGATCAAGTTAGGATTTTTATCTCGTCAGAAACAAAGTGTTGCTACAAAATTCAAGGTGAATAATAATAGTCTTGCTCGTTCAGACATAATAATGCTCCTCTCGAATAGATTTTCTTTTTCTGCGCAATGTTGGGCATCTTAAAGACTTTCACTTTAATGCAGGGCCAACTGTTTAAATTAATGCAGCAGCTCGAAAGCACAACCCCACATTTCATTCGTTGTATAAAACCGAACGGTAAGCAAATTCCCGGTGCCTTTGACGAAGGTCTTGTGTTAGAACAGCTTAGATGCTGTGGAGTACTCGAGGTCGTGAGGATATCGAGATCTGGGTACCCTACTCGGATGACTCATCAAGAATTCACAAAACGGTAAAAATTGCTGGAATATTTTTCGTTTTTCGTTTCATCACACTTTCTTATGGTTAATTTGGAGTTTGGACATTTATTTATAATTTACTATGATTTGCATGAATTTTTTCAGGTATGGATTTTTAGTTCCTGAAGAAATTGCATGTCAAGATCCATTAAGCACATCGGTTATCATTCTGCAGCAGTTTGGTATCCTCCCTGAGATGTATCAAGTCGGTTATAAAAAATTATACTTCCGAGCAGGACAAGTGAGCATTTTCTTCTGTTATTCTTCTTCTTTTATGGAATATTTAAAGTATCTGCTCAAGTTAGTCAAATTTTATGTTTTCAGATCGCTGCTCTGGAAAATGTGAGAAAACAAGTTCTACAAGGTACTCTTGAGGTGCAAAAGTGCTATCGTGGTCATCGTGCTCGTCGATATTTTAACGAACTCAAGGGAGGAGTGGTAACATTACAATCATGTGAGGATTTTATTTATTTATTTTTCTTTTTTTTTTTTCTTACAACATCGATGGAATCTCAGATTTTTATATTTGTATTTTGGTGACAATTAAATATATACCTGCAGATATCCGTGGGGAAATCGCAAGAAAGGACTATGATTTCTTGCTTCGGTTGAAAAACGAGGTTGCTTGCAAGAAGCTAGATGAGCAGCTAATGGCAGTTGTGCAAATACAATCTGGTAAAGCTTTCTAACCTGAAATTCAAATTCCTAATTCAAATTCAAATTCATATTCAACCTATTATTATGCAGTAATTCGCGGATGCTTGATAAGAAGGCATTTTAGCAAACTTCGTAGCAGACAGCCGCATGTTACTAAATGGAAACCCGGCAGACGAATATCTGAAATCAAGGTAAAAATTTCATTTTTACAAAATTCTTCAAGTTCAAACTGTAGTATATTTTTTGAAATGAGTTTGTACTTTTATTTTGCTTGAGAGCAGGACTTGCCGCCAGAACTGTTGCCTTCGGTTGTTGAAGAGCTTCAAAAACGGGTAACAATGGCTGAGATGACAATCGCACGAAAGGAAAAAGAAAATGCGGCCCTAAGAGAGCAAGTACAACAATACGATGCACGGTGGTCTGAATATGAATCGAAGATGAAATCCATGGAGGCCACGTGGCAAAAGCAGATGCAATCTTTACAAGTGAGTTCAAAATATAACGAATTTTACCAGACAAATAATTTTGTAACTCTTTTTTCTTTCTGTTCTTGCAGTTGAGTTTAGCTGCAGCGAAAAAAAGTCTCGGCTCGGACAATACTAACGCTCGACCAGAAAAGATTAGTGGGGCCCAAACACCTTATTATGATTCAGAAGATGCATATTTAGGACCTCAAACTCCAATTGCTACAAACGAAGCTCGATTCTTGAACAACAATGATATCGAGGCTGCTGAAAGTGGAGAAACTAATAATGTTGTCTTAAATCCAGTCAGCCCTCTCGCCAGAGAGTTTGAAAGCAAAACACATAATTTCAACAGTGAAGCCCACACAATTGTTGATATCAAGACAGGAAATAATAATAATATGGCTTCGGGGAATCTTGTAGAGGAACTGAGAAGACTTAAACACAATTTCGAGACGTGGAAAAGAGATTTCAAGGCTCGGTTAAGGGAAGCAAAGGCGAAGCTGCACAGGCTCGGGCATGCTGATGGGGAGAAACATATTCGCAGGAAATGGTGGGAAAAGAAAACGAAAATATTCTAGCATCATCAATCAATCTTCCGAGTTTTTTCTCTTTTAACTGGCCTTTTTTTTCACCAAAAGTTGTGATTATTTTTCAGGAACAGTATTGTTGCCTCACAAAAGCGGTTTGGTTTGTGCTAGTGTATGTGTGTAACTATATAATACGTAGTCGATATTTTGTTGTTGTGTGGAAGGAGCAACAGTCCCCCCTGATAGTTTAAGCGGGACACGAGCTGATTTGCTGTACAGTGTTTAGAGTTTTAGCTGGAACTTGGATGTAGTTTAGTGTTGGAGAAAAACTTGGAAGAGAAGTGTTTGGCAATTGTACCAGGTTTTTTCAAAACATTGTAAAGAACCAAGAATATATGGCAATTGTACCAGGTTTTTTCAACAATGCAATGAAATAGGCCTTGTGTGTGTGTTTTTTTTTTTTCAGTCATAATAATGTAAAATCCAGGAAAAAAAGCTACCCCATTTTAAATTTCTTGAACTTTTATCTGTCAGGTTCATGTTCGGCTCGTTCACATTGATAAACAAGTCGGGTTTAGCTCGTGTATATAAAGGCTCTAGCCCGAGCTCGAGTATTAGAAGCTTGACCTCGATCTATTTTCAGCTCTGAGTGTTCGTCAGAGACACCCAACCAATCCCTTAATTTTCTCACAACATCACTGAAAATCATAAACTAGAAACATATCAGTGGCTACTTGTTATCAGCAAAGATGAGTTTTTTTCTTTCTTATTTTTTTTTTTTCCACTAATTTGCATAAATGACAACTAGATTTTGAAATCCTTTTTATCATATTTGCGTTGCTGATCAAGAGAGTACACATAAATTCAAGATCTACACACACTCATGAACAAATTTATGATCCAGGCACAAATTTGGTGGCATATACCCAAGCATTATTAGCAACTGGGTTATCAAGATGGTCCAACAAGTTCTCCAAAGGCCCTTTCCCCGTAACAATCGCCTGCACGAAAAACCCGAACATCGAGAACATGGCCAGCCGCCCGTTCTTGATTTCCTTCACCTTGAGCTCGGCAAATGTAACCGGGTCATCCGCCAGGCCCAACGGGTCAAAATATTGCCCGCCCGGGTAGAGATCGTTGCCTTCCCCAACCCCATCCAAGCCGTTGATTCGGAACCCTTCGACAAGCCCCATAAGCACGACTTGAAAACCGAGGACCGCGAGTATGCTTTGTGCATGGACCAAGTTTGGGTTGCCCAAGTAATCGAGTCCACCCTCCGAGAATATTTGGGCCCCGGCCTTAAACCAAACGGGCTCCTTGAAGTCGACGTTGACCCATTTCTGGAGGACTTCTGGGGTTATGCACCCGAGGGCTCCGAGCATGGCCCACCTCCCGTGGATCACCTAAGGAGAAAGTCGGTTTTAACAAGGTGAGTCGAGCTATTTAGGTACGTAACTCTATTTTTTACGAACATACATACTTTCATTAGAAAATGTCGCATTTTTGGTCTAGATAGCATGACGGGTCGACCTGCCTAACCGTCAGGCTAACTCACCCAAGAATTTGTGCTCATGTTATTACTAGTTTTATTAGAAACGTACATACTTTCATTAGGCGTGTAACTCTTTTTTTACAAATGTATATACTCTCATTATGACTTGACTAACCGTTAGGCCGACTCCCCCAAGAATGTGCGTTCATGTAATTACTAGTTAACACAATAGATAATCCCATCAAATGAAGCAAATGTAAGATAAGAACATACAAAGAAAAACAAGAGCTAATAACTATATATAGTTATACCTCAAGAGCCCTGTTTTTAGCAAAGGCCTCGGGATCAGCCGACAATCCAGCCGTGTCCCAGCCGTAGTCACCGGGGAATTCTCCGGTCAGGTAAGACGGAGTCTGGGCTGAAAATGGGCCCAAATACTTGACCCGGTCCGGACCGTACCACAAATTCTTACTCTACAGTATACAGAAAGAAAAGATCACATTTTCTAGTTAGTAACTGCAAAATTTCTTCATTTTCCTTCACAGATAGACAAAAGATGTCAAAAAAAGAGAGGGTAAAACAGAGACAATTATTAATTTATTACCATAGTGAATTTGCCCTTTCCAGTGGGGATATCTTTAAAGGGATTGTAATTCTTGGTTTGGCCCAAAAACGGAGTTGCCCGGAGAACGGCGGTGGAGCTGGCGGCGGCGGCCATTGATGCCATTTTTTGCTATATTTATTATTATTATTTGTTTTCTTTTCTATTGCAGTGTGTGTAAGGAGAAGAGTAAAGGAGACAGACTTTTATGTTGTGAAGGTGAAGATTTTGGGTATTGAAAATTGTGGCTGATGAGAAATAGCAAGTGGGAAGCCAACCAATCACAAGGAGTTTAAAGATTTTGAGCATCTCCACCTCATATCTTTTTATCCACATTTTATCTTTGACAAAATGACACCAAACACACAAATTTTATTACTTGAAAATAAGGAAATTACATGTCAAATTATTTTTATTACTTAGCAATAAAACAAAAAAAAAATTGAAAATGTACTTGTCAACATTATTAAGGTCAATAACTATTTGAAATGTCATAATTAATAAGACTATACAAAATGACTACGTTCAGGATTGTTACGATTTTTGTCACATTATTTTTCGTTAGTCGCTACTATTTTAAGTTTCGATTATCTCTTTAAACTATCTGTTTTTCTTTCTAAATATTATTTTTATTTTTATTTTATAATTGAAAATGTTGTGCATAACAATTTTTGTATTATATACATAACTAATGTATAATTATTTATTAGTTTTATGTGAATATGAATTGGTAACATGTATAGTATATCTAAGATAAATGAAAAAAAAAAACATCACATTTCTTTAGGCCATGTCACGATATCAAATTTTGATGAAATTTATCTTTCTAGGTAGTTAACTATTTTGATGGAATAATGAAAAAATAATTCCACCACGTATAAATTTATCATTTTATGAGGACCCAAAAAAAAATGAAAAAACATAAAAATTGCGGTGAGCGTGGATCGAACACGCGACCTTCAGATCTTCAGTCTGACGCTCTCCCAACTGAGCTATCCCCGCAGCTTGCCTATTATTGGAACTATGTTTTCTAAGGCCTGATAAAAACTTCTCAGGCTGCAATTTCGAAGCAAAATGGTTGGTTACTCAAGATTCGTGATTCCGTTTTCTGCAACCTGTAATTTTCTTTTTTTTTCATGATCGAAGCCTAATTCTTGATTTTATTAGGCTCCTGATAAAGTTATCTCCGTAAAAGAGAGCTAAAATGGGTTTAGCAAATAACAGCAAGAAAGAGAACAATTGATGCAATTGTACGCCAACTTTGAGAATTACCGGGCCGAGACTTGAGGGAGTTTCGATGAGTTCGAGCAAGTCCAAGCCCAAATACTCGAAATAATGGAACCTCTTGGGCCGGGCCAGTAGTTGTAGCCGTTGAACGATTTTTCGTGCTTCCTTTAGTAACGGATAATGTTCCCATACCTACGGTGGGCACATGTTAATATGCCCACTGTTTATATGGCATGCACACATTGGTAATGTTTATATGTTCGAAAAAATATATCACAAATGTGTGCATGCCACATAAACAATAGACATATTAACATGTGCCCACCGTGGATAGGTGAGCATTATTCGTAACTTACTTCTCCAATAGCCATTCTACTAACTACAAAAACTTGGGGTTGATTTTATTATTATTATT